ATGTTGGAACTTTACCTTTGAGGAATTCAGAAACTTCAAGCAATTTGGATTCTTTAAACAATTCAGAAACTTCAAATGATTTAAATAGTTCAAATGATTTAGATATTTCAAGTAATTTGGAAACTTCAAATAATTCAAGAGTATAAATTTTTTTTTTTTGTTATCATTATGTGTTATTCTTTATTTTATTAACATTTATTTATTAGGTAATTACCGGTAGTAACAATTTACCACGACGCACCTTTATGAAACCATTTCGAAAACCTCTACAAGATATAATTAAAAACTTACCTCCAATCAGTAGTCAACAAGTTATGCGTAGAGTTCCTAATCGAAATAGTTATGAAAAGCAAGATTCAAGTAATAATGATGACAATAATTCTAAGGTGATCAAAAATTATTACATAAATGCTGAAAGCGTTACAATTAATTAAATTTATTGTATACGTATAACTAATGTAATCATTTATTATATTAAATAAATCAATTAATAAATTGCTTTAAATAAAGTTTACTATATAATCGTATAATTTTTTTAAATTCCATCCTAATATAACTTTTAGCCCAGTCTATTACAACTTTAATAACTTAAATCCTAATATATCTTCCGGCTCAGTCTATTACAATTTTAAGAACTTTTATTAAATATGTTTGCCTATTACTTAATACTATTTCATAGTATTGTAGTATAAAAAAACAATTCTGCTGATTAACTTAAATAAACTTTTTTTTTTATATGCGAGTTGCCAAATAACTTGAGTTATTTGGCAAATTATGTAATCACTACCAAATAATTCGAGTTATTTGGCAAGCCCGATCATAGTCAGATGCCGGATAAATAGTAGTATTAGTTTTAGTTGCATTATAGAAAACTGATCTTTATCAACTTGTGCAGAATTAGGAGCTATATAGGCAGCCTTGCTAATAGTACCATATGAGGCTCAAATACATATATTCACTGATAGCAAAGCAGCAATAGAAGCTATTGAAAAATGTTTAGGTAACAACAAGTTAAGAAGTTGGTTTAAAATAAAAAACAGAAGTTAACTGAGATAGATAAAAGACTACTGCATAGCAAAAAGTTTAAATTTGTTATTACACAAAGTCAAAAGTCATAGTAGCAACAAATAGAATGAGCAAGTAGATTACTTAGCTAAGAAAGGTACTAGGAGAACTGATATACTCAAAGTACTAAAAACAATACTAAGCAATATTCGAGCTATACCAAAGTGAAAAGACCAAATAATAGACTGCTCGTTTAGATTATTTATAAATATAACAACTGCAATAATATACGAAACAGAATGAGCTAAACTAAGCAAAGCAGCAGATATCATAGCCTTGAATCAAGGAGACAATTCTAGTAAAGAGCCAATTTAAAAAAATACTTAGGAAGTACTAAAGAAGCAACAAAAGAAAAAGTACATTAGTCTAAAGAAAAGTAGAGACCTTATGTTTCGTATAAAATGTATTAATAACATTCTACCAACAAAAGATATCTGCTATTTGAGAAATCCCAAACTATACAAGAGCAGAAGATGCATAGTCTGCTTCAGAAAGGACGAAACTTTGTATCATCTAGCAGAATATGAAATCTACCAAAAAATATAGAAGAACCTAGAAAAGGAAACTCTATATCTAACAAGTCTCAAAGCATTAACAAAGTTGGATCTATTACTTTAAGATGACATATTGAGAAAGGTACTCTATAGTAAAGACCTAGAAGAGAAGATGCATATTAGAAAGATGCACCTCAGAGACCTCACAAATAAG